GAACTTCATAAATATGAGGGAAACAGACTTTTTACACTATCTGATGGTGACAGGACAAGAGAAGCAGGCTCTGTGCACAGCAGTGTTACATCTGCAGTTGCAAGAAATTACCTAGTCATCGCAAATAACATTTTTGAGTCTTCCTTTTGCATTGAGCAAGAGTCAGATGTTGGCTCCTGAAATGACTGAGGTACAGTTCTTCAGTCCCACTTCTGGCATCGTTCCAGACTTACATAAAGATGACTTATAGCATCAAGACTTGCAAAAAGCACCAGGGAAAAAACGCTGATCAGGAAATTTTGTGTAATTCCTTGGCAAAGTTCTTGGCAAAAGTCAAGAAAAGAGGAGGATAGTTTAATTTTTATGGATTTATGGTTGCCTATAGGAAGGGGAAAGGCTTGATGTGGCTGTGGTTCAAATAACTAATTTTCATTGAATTGTTCCTACATCCTATATTTAATCTGATTGATCCCTACTGTGTATTTTGAGTCCTTCAGAGTCTGTCCTCCCTGATAGAGTGCCAGATTCCAGTATGGATGCTCAGGAGGGAGAGAAAACACAATATATATCCAAACAGAATTGGATTTCTGCTTCAGTAGAGTCTCTCATTAAGACTGCATTGGCAGCAGTTGCCAAGGTCCTTGCAGTACCCACACCAGAGCCTGCAGCCAGTCTGAAAGCAAAAGAATCTTCTCCCTTGATGTGTTTAAGCACTCTTTTGCAATCATCAAGAATCCTACAGCTGTGCCATTATATAAAGTGTCTTTTTGTTATCTGTTTCAACTGAAAAAAAAAAAAAAAATGTATTGGTTGACTACCAAATCTCCAAACATTTGTAATATACTTACTAACTTATATTAATACACATTTGCACTCATTAGAAAGTTACAGCCTACATTCAGATAGAAATTAAGCAAGGAGCTACAACATAACTTTGAACTCCTCACTCATAAAGCAATTGATAACTTATTCTGGTGTTTTCTAAGAGACTGTCCTTTTTCTGTCTTTGTAAGATTGCTAGCACTATGGCTAAGTAACTTACAGTATAATGCAGCAAAGACAAGCTTTACTAGTTAAATAGCACATACATAGCAACAAGATGGCACCATGAATGAAAACAAAGTCTGAGGAATGTGAACATATCACTGTTTAGACAAGCACAAACCAATCTCAAAAGATTCAAAAAGTGAGTGAATTACTTGATTGCTAAAGAAGACTATCAGGTGTGACCTGAGAAAGCTACAGGTCAATCAGCATGATTTCAACACAAAAAAAACCCAGCATGCATATGTAGGTCACTCCAAATGTAATGCTTCCTATTTATTTCCACAGGAACTACAGCAAAGAACAAAATAATGCTATTTGACAGAGGAAATTCTCAGCTATAACAACACTGTTTTTCAACATAGTCATTGCCATTAGCTATGCATCTTTGTGCCAGCAATGAACAAGAGACTGCATGTTGCTCTAATAAAAATCTACAAGACTCTCTGAAATGTGCCTTTTCTTTCATGTTGTTACCACTGGTGAAACACACCATCATATAACTGGACTCACATCCACTGTTTCATTCCTATCAACATTCAGCAAACGTACATTAGTAGGTGCCATTTCTTCAACATTGTGGAAGACTGAAACCCAAAAACAAAAAAAACATAGAACCACGACATGGGGGAACTGACACATCTTTTCTTCATCTGCACTTCCATATCAGACGCTATTTTGTCAGACTGCTCCTTTGCACACAGTGACAAAATGTGACAGAACATTGGTAGGAAAGTTCAGCCTCTACTGTTACACCATCAACATCTGCTTCTGACACTGTGGGACAACATAAAATAGCAGGCATAACTTTTGGAGCAGCCCTAATATTTAGTTATCTGTTCTGCTCTGGAGATGGAAGTCTAGAGATTCTGACAGACTTTTCACATGATCTGTGCCACAGAATCACAGAATTGTAGGGGTTGGAAGGGACCTCCAGAGATCATCGAGTCCAACCCCCCTGCCAAAGCAGGTTCCCTACAGCAGGTCGCACAGGTCGGCATCCAGGCAGGTCTTGAACATCTCCAGAGAAGGAGACTCCACCACCTCCCTGGGCAGCCTGTTCCAGTGCTCCGTCACCTCACTGTAAAGAAGTTCTTGTGCACATTTGTGCAGAACTTCCTGTGCTGCAGTTTCCAGCCATTTCCCCTTGTCCTGTCTCCACTCACCACTGGAAAGAGTCCAGCCTCACCATTCTGCCCCCCACACCTTAGATATTTATAGACCTGGATCAGGTCCCCTCTCAGTCTTCCTTTCTCAAGGCTGAACAGACCCAGTTCACTCAGCCTTTCCTCATAGGAGAGATGCTCCAGGCCCTTCACCATCTTCGTGGCCCTCCGCTGGACTCTTTCCAAGAGATCCCTGTCTTTTTTGTACTGGGGAGCCCAGAACTGGACGCAGTACTCCAGATGAGGCCTTACCAGGGCAGAGTAATACTTCATTAGTTTTACTTCGGGAAATCTTTCCCCATTGCCTCACCTCATGGCATGCAAGATATATTTCTTGTCATACCTCATCCAGACAGAATGAACTAATCACTCCCCTTTGCAAAAGAACTTTGAAATAGTCTTTATCACTTCTAGAGAGATTTCAGGAAAATGAGTCTCAGCAGGTCAGCTAGCTTTCTGACAACTGTACACATTGTACCCTGAAATGCAAACATATATTAAACTAACAGTTACCCACTTCAGATGCTTGGTTGTTTTGTTTTTGTTTTTGTTTTTTTTAAGCCTGTACACAATAGATTTGTTTTCCAAGTTAGTCTCAGTACAGTCATTATTTATCATGTTTCCACAGTACATCCAAAATTAGTTTACCCAAGGGAAATATTCTTTGAGCTACCAGATCAGGAGCAGTATTTAAAAACTCTATTAAATAAGAAAGAATATAAGGCTTTAAAGATTAAAAAATTATGCCATTTCCTAAGTCGATATTCCCACACTCCTCAGTCTCTCAGCACATTATACTCCTCACACAAACACAGCATCCAACCTTCTGTCAAGTCTGTAACCATTAGAGTTGCCTGTATTCTGGATTGTTTTTGCAGAGAAAGTGGTAGAGTTCAGTTAAGACAATTGTCTTCCGAAACCAGAAGGAAGTCAGGAATTTCAAAGCTAGTATAGGCTATCTAATAAAATGTATTTGTACCTTACTGGCCAGTTATGTCATTCGCAGGGTTACATTTATACCTAAAATATTTTTCAGCAGTTCTTTATTATCTAATGTATTTCTAGAAGTTCTTCAACGTATCATAATCAAGATGCAGTTATTTTAATTGTAAAACATTTGGTGTGCTGTTAAAAAGAAGCGTTATACAATCACTGAAAGAGACTCTCTATCATCCTTAATAAACAGACATTAATCAATGTAGCCTTACCTAATGTGCAGAAATAACTTCTAGGAGCTGTAAAACATTTTAAGATACTGTTCATTGCAGGTTAGAGAGATAAACATCTTACTAGGATGTACTTCACTATTTCTGTGCATTGAGAGTTGACAGAATGATTCCTTATGTTTCTTCTCTAAGGACTCATAGAATAGCAATCAAAAAGGTTTTTCTGTATCAACATCAGTAGCAAATTTGCCCTCTGATTTAGACAGCCTACCGTGTAGAAACGTAGCTAGAAGCAAGTATTGCTTCTTGTTTTCTGCTAATTTGCTGGAAAAAGGATGTTTTCAAAATAAGACATTAGCTGTAGCAAATGCAAGCAATGGTACATCAATAAAGTCTAAATCATCTGCTTGTAGCACATTTTTAAATTTTCAGATACTCATAATGCTGTTTCATTGAGGTCTTGAAAACACTCAATTAGAGAACAAATTATTCTTTTCCACCTATCCAACAATAAACATTGGAAACATTTGGATATTTCCAGGGTTTTGAGGCATCAGTAGTCACAGACTAATTGTTTTCTAAATTGAAAGACCATGTTATTCACAGTAAATGAAGCTCTCACTCTGAAAAATGCTAGTCTGCTTCAGAAATGAGCAGAAAATGTTATTGGATTTGCTGTCATAACCAAGAGATTTATATGAATGACTGCAGAGTACTACTGCCATTTGCTGCTTTTACAGTGCTTATTTTTGTTGATCTCTCTAAAAATCTGTTGTTTTATCCATAGAAGCTATTAAAATTATTTTTTCTGATCTATCTAATCTTCCTGCTCTCTTACATCTAAAAAAACTTCAAAGGCCATGAAGAAACATTTTCTACAGGTGCTGATAAGCTTAATGTCCACGCACATTAACTGCAAAGTCATCTCTCCTCTCAGCAAGAGCATCTGTTAAGTAGTACAGAGCCCCTCTTCCCACACAGACATGAATGGATATGCTAGAGGAAATGCCGCTGTGGTAATCACAGACATAGTCCACACAGACCAGTCAAACCAATGACTTATCATTGACTCTTCAAAACAGTCTTGTTTCATAGTCAGCCTGTACTCTGTCAATACTTAAGTCTCAAGAAATAGAATTAAAATAATCTCTAGAATCTTGTAGCTCAAGCATTTAAGCATAAAACTACTTTGGCATGGAATTAAGTCAGCGGACAAGAGAAGAGCCACTGATGTCATCTGTCTGGACTCCAACAGGGACTTCAACACAGTCCCCCACAATATCCTTATGTCGTTCTCTGCATTAGAAAGATATGAATTTGACATGTAGACTGCTCAAAAGATGAGGAATTGCCTGTGAGAGCACACCCAGAGAAAGGTGATCAATGGCTTAATGTCTGGATGGAGATTAGTGACAAGTTGTGTCTCCCAGGGGTCAGCGCTAGGACCAGTGCCATTTCACATCTTCAATAATGACATCAACAATGGGATCAAGCATCTAACACTACAACATTATGGAAAGTACAGCAATAACAGTGGGATAGCAAAGTCTTTAGCTGCAGCAAATAAGGACAAGCCCAAATGCAGCAGCTGTAGATACAGAAACAAAGCAAAAGAGCTGCTTACCTTTGGAAAAGCTCAGGTGCATAGGGATCTCCAGCAAGATACCCTCACCCCCATTGCCAAGCCTTAAATGAGGCCTGGGAAGGGATGGATCCTGGCTCCACTCCTTCCTGTCAGTCAGATGCATTGCATACACCTGAGCCCCCCTGGGTTGCCCCTGCCTTCCCACCAGGTGCTAAATCTCTGCTTCAGGCCATGACTTAGCATTTCTACTACAGAGTGTATTATCAGCAAGTTTGCAGATAACAAACTTTTGCCAAGCTATATCATATGGTCAACAGGCCCTAGGGATGGAATGCCATCCAGAGAGACAGTAACAGGCTTGAGCAGCAGGCCCAGGTGAGCCTCATGAGGTTCAACATATTCAGGTGCAGGGTCTTGCACCTGGGTTATGGCAACCCCCATTATCAGTACAAGCTAGGGGATGTACGAACGGAGCACAGCTTTGCTGAAAAGGGCTTGGGGGTACTGGTAAATGGCAAGCTGGGCATGAGCCAGAAATGTGATCTCACAGCCCTGAATGTCAATAGTATCCTGGGCTACATCAAAAGATGCGTGACCAGCAGGTCAAAGGAGGTGATCCTGCTTCTTCACTCCGCTGGTGAGAACTCACCTCCAGGTACTTTGTCTAGCCATGGTGTCCCCAGTACAGCGAAGATGTGGACCTGTTGGAGTGCATCTATAGGAGGGCCACAAAAAATGCTCCAATGAGTGGAACACTTCCCCTATAGCTGAGGCTCTTCAGCCTGGAGGAGAGAAGGCTCATGGGAGACCTTAATGAGGCCTCTCAATATGTAAAAGAGGCTGTAAGAAGGAAGGGGACAGACTTTAGCAGGGTTTGTTGTGGTAAGGCAAGTGGAAAAAGCCTCAAACAAAAGGAGAGATTTAGGTTGGATATAAGGAAGAAGTTTTCTTACAATAAAGGTGGTGAGGCACAAGAACAAGTTGCTTCAGGAGGTGATGGGTATGTTGACCTTGAAGACTTTTAAGGTCGAGCTGGAGGAACTCTGAGCACTCTGATCTAGCTGTGCCTGTCTCTGTTTATTGTAGGGGAGTTGGACTAGATGACCTTTGAAGGTCCTTTCCAACTCAGAAGATTCTATGATGAATGAAGTTTCAGACCCTTTTGCAATATAAGCTGTTGTTTGACCAAAATCACAACAAGGAGGGAGACCTGGCCTTCTGGCACCATCTGACAGAAGGAAGATTTTTCCAAAGAAGTAAAAGCCTTCTGTATCTTTTCAGACCTTTATCTTTGTCATCCAGGGTCTTCAGCCTTCAAACACAAGCCTTCAGGCTATATCCAGGCAGCCTCCTTCTAGGTCTTCTGAAGATACCCTCTCTCTCATCTTTTCTGAACTCTTGCTCCCTAATGTTTTTCTCCTTCCAGTTCCATGACGAAGTTGTTAAAGCCTCATTTTACAACTTCCCTTAGTGCTCATAAAGTGCCAGCAACGTAGTACCTCTTTATGGGCTGGAGGTCTCTGCTATTTATAGGCTGTGAAACAAACATTTCCAGAGAGCCTTATTATGACTTCTGCACGAAATTTCCATGCTATGCCAGAGTGAGTTGGCACAGTATCGCATTTAAATGCAACACCCTTCATGAAATACTGAATTGACTTTTGCAATAAAGCATATTGTGTTTGCCATTTACATAGGCACAAATGTAACTTTTCAGAAGTTTTCCTCCTCACAGGTTTCTGGGGCACAGGTACAACCTATGTTGTATAGAATAAAATAGTAATTTTACCATCAGTTATGGTTTAGTAGCTTTGTCCTGTAGACAACAAATTTTCCTTTTTTTTATCCAAAACTTTGCTCCTCACACTGACTGCAAGAATTTTTAGAGAAGGCAGTTCACGTTGAAGATGGATCCTTTGCCTGTAACTATAACATGCCTTTGCCAGAGTTTCATAGCCTCATTTCAGGTTGGTTATAAGGAAAAATTTATTCTCAGAAAGAGTGGTGAGGCAGTGGCACAGGCTGCACAGGGAGGTGTACAAGACATGTGTAGATGTGGCACTGAGGAACATGGTTAGTGGGCATGGTGGGGATGGGTAGTGGCTGAACTAGGTGATCTTAGGGGTCTTTTCCAACCTTAATGATCCTATGAAAAAGCCAAAAGAAGACAAAGCAGTCCATTGTTTAGAAGTTATGGGAAAATAAGACTCTTGTAAGAATTACTCCTGTCTTCCAAAAGATAACATTAATTTCCAAATTTTTAAATGAGATTTCTGTATTGCTTTCCTGAAAATAAAGTACCAAACTGTATAATATAAGAGTCATGCAGATTTTAAAGCCTCTATTGGATTATTTTAATCCAATGAGGCCTTAATCTAAAACTTAATTTCTCAAGATTTTATGAGCATTTGAAAGTAGAACTTTCTGGATTTGTAAGACCTGTTATTAGGAATGTTTAGCTAATGTACATCAGGCCTTAGGAGTTGAGGTCAGTAACATTTACTGCAGGTAATTATTCACAAGTCTTTTTAATAGAGTTTAAGTCCCAAGACAACTTTTATTCAAATTCCAGCCCTTCCTAAACAGCAGGTATTTTACTAAATTAAAGACATTTTATAATTGAATAAACACTCATGCTTATGTAAGCATTTTCAATGATTTACATTATATTTCTGGTTTAATTCTTCTGGTTTCAATACTACATTTGCCTATGACCACCTTCTAAGCTGAAGGACTCTGTAGGGCAATATTTCTCCGTGAGGTCATGAGGTATTCCAGATGATACACTTGTTAAAATCAGTGTGCCAGGTGCAATGCCACCAAATGTTGTCAAGAGTATTACTGAGTTATTGCATTTTGATTAACTTCACTAACATTACCTCCCTAATTTGTTGAATTCTTGGTTTACCCCTCCACATTCTCTTAGGAGCGCTGATCAATTGATGCACATCTTTGCTAAGGCCCTGAACGTACAAAAACAGAAGCTCCACAGATGAGTAGAAAGATCTAACAACAACATTCAACATTCAAAAAGCGTGCTCATGATTTTCACCTATTAAACACCTATTCCCGTGCTAGAGACAGGTAAGGTTAGAAGTACAAGTACAAGAAGTACCAATACATCTTTGATGTATACAAAGATCTAACCTTTTGTGGAAGTCCTCAGTAACCAGGAGGGCATATAAAAAATTAAGACAGATGTGGCATTACTTATTCATTCTCTTCACTAGGATTAAAATAAGATTTATAACTACTATACAAACGTCTTGCTAACATCTCGGCACATAAGAAAAATTATGCCAAAAGAAAAATGTATTATAAATAAAGAAAACAAATATAGAAGTAATCAGTCATGCTCTACTCTAATTTAATGCTCTAAAAATGTATTTTTTCTCCTCACGTCAAAATGAAAGGATAACAAAAAAAGAATTACTGTATCCATCAACAACAGGAGATACTTTGGTCCATACCTGGTCAATGTAAGACTTTCCAGGAAACAAAACCAATGCACATGAACATTGTTGTTACAACTACAAAGAAAAGTCTTCTTTCCCTCTTTACACGGGCAACTTTGGCCTTCTTATGAAAAATCCAGCAAACAAATATTTTCCTCCACAAAAAAAAAACCAAAAACCCTGTGATTCCTTACTGTCAACTGGTCAACTACCTCAAAAAAAAGAAACAATTTTTAAAAGTCTGTAAAAATGTATTAAACAAGGACATAATATCAAGAATTGGAAGGAGGATTAATGGTAGTGAAACAATTACACCATTATTTTACTCAAAATACACAATTATGATGCTAATGTCTTTCTTAGGTAAGAACATTAAATGCTTTTAAACATGTTTTACAATACAGTCTTAAATAAGGACTCAGTTTCATAGTTCTTTCTGCATATTTTCTTTACAAGATTCACGTAATTTTACCCTGAAACTCAGAATTTTACATCAGTTCCGTCTGAATTACAAAATTTGCATATCTAACATTCTTAATTCCCAATAGTAGACTTACAGATAAAATTGTTTTTGTTGGCCTCATTGCATTTCTGATAGAATGTAAAGATGAATTGCTGTTTTTGTATAGAATCCATACACTCCACAGACAAGACACCGTGCTGTTTTCCTAAGCAACCTCCCCACCCCATAGAGCTCTAGTGTAGAAGACTCATTGCCTTCTGTCCTAGCACAGCAAGGCTTCACATTTCAGAGAGTTTTTTCAGTAAGAGAGCAGTTCTGAGAAGTGCCACAACTACATTCCCAGCCACTCCAGTGAAAATTAGTTCATGTTGCTTCTGCCCAATTATTTACTCCAAAGTATATTCTTCATGTAGGGTTTGTGAAGACTGCTACATACTGGATCTTCTTTCCTACTCCTTCTACTTTGGAGACATAATAAGGGAAAAAGGCACAGTGGCACGGTGTGGCTACTCTAAGTGCCTTTAAGTTTTTCTGAAGACTTCTAAAATTGTTTTTCGCTTGAAAGATTTTCCAAACACATTTATCCATCCTTAGAGTTTCCTGCAGTCCCATATCAACTGATGAAATTGTCCATTTTTTTGCATGGGATCAACCTTTATATAGCCTTCAGCATTTTTGGAGTCTGCCTTCTCTTATACTTCCAGTCCAAAAGAATAATTTAAACTTTGAAACAGAGACATCATGAAACATGAAACTCTTACGTGCAGAAAACTTCAGCCTTTCAAAATGGTTTTACTTCTAGCAGAATTCACACTTTTGTTAGTAACCAAATATTTAATATTCTCATCAGCCTTTACCTGGTTGGGTGCCCCAGGAAACCCCCAGGTGCTGCATATCTGCCAGAGGAGCCAGGAAAATAGGCTGTGTAGAAACAGACAATGGATGAGAGACAATGGACATCCCTCTGGGAGTCCTCTGCAGGGGAAAATCCTCTGGATTATCCTACTCAGCTGCTCCCTCATTCATTTAAACCAAATTTAAGCAATCAAACTCATTATTTCCACCCACTCCTTTTATTTGCCAAAAGTGATGCTGCAGGAAGGATATCAGGGAGTGCTTGACCAGGAGCTCTTTTAAGAGACAACACATGGCAGAGGAACTGCATCAACCCCTTTCATGAAGCATTGTGGTCCAGGAGAGAATATGTGTTTG